CTACAGATCCTCTTTGAACAAAAACTCTGCTAACACATTCCCTATACGTATTTCCTCAAAGGTGAATGTCACCCCATGACAGTCCACAACTTCGTCTCCTTCGAACCCAGAAAAGGCAGAGAGATCCGGCATATTATGTGCAACAGCAATACAATACTTAACATTTCTCCTCAGGACTAGGAGCTCATCAAATAAAACATCAAAGCCATGATAGATGTGGCCAATATTTCTTTGCACATCCACCTTATAGGACCCAGTTTGGGAAAAAAGTAGCGAACCAGTAGTGATTTCATCACCAACAAAAACCTTTACAGTCGCTGATACTCTAGTATATCTGTCATGCTCTTCAAAAAATATAGAGACTCCATGCAACACTATGTTCTTGTCTACAGTTAAATTGATCGGTTCAAATGTAGCAGGAACATTAGAAGAACTAAAAATATCAACATACTTATGGTATCTGCAACATCGTAAAGGGGGTCCCTTTCTTTGTTTTTCTGAAAATCCATGCAGAAGCGGAAGAGTAGGATCGTCAAATTGTGCGACAACATTGCTGGCTTCTTCCTGCGTTAAAATTTTGGTGACTGGAACAATCTCCATAAACTCTCTCTGTTCCATGAGTGGAAAACGCAGGTTTTTCATTACCTCTTCCCCAAGTATTTCCCTCTTGACAGAGCCTTCTGGTTTCAGATTTAATCTATTGCATTGATGTTCTGCCCAGCCATCAACAGCCTGAAATAACTCGACCTCCTTAATATTCAATGTGTCCCTCTCCACTAACTCTTGCAGAAGAGACTTCTCAATTCCAAAGAATTCATTTGATTGCACCACGCGCATTGTCAGTTTGTCAACATAGTCCCAACAAAAATTCAACAGGTGATCATTTGAAAATTTCTTAGCGTGTTCCAAGACTCCAAGCACATTCGACGAGTCCAGATTATTCCCTAAAAAGACTGCACATTTTTTGGAAAGTCGAGGAATCATGTATTTGGCAGCAAGATATGCCACTTGCATCACGTTATTTTCGGTTAAGGAAACTTTATCGGTGTACAGGAATCGCAAAAATTCAAACATACCGTCATAGTCACAGTCAGGCAGATTGATTTCTTCTTTGAAGTCTGCCATTTTGCCACAGAACATGGCAAAAAATACAGGGCTTCTGATTGCCAACAAAAACTTGTGAGCTGGGATCGCTATCCTCCTTTTTTTCCGGTCACTGCATTCGCCATATTGGGGCGAACGAACAACAAATTTTACATCACTCAAAATATCATTGTTGAACAAAAATTTGCCTCTCTGTTGGAAAGCCTTTGGGAACTTGTCTTTCTCCGTATCCATATCCATCCATGGGTTATCGTCATAGAAATCCAACTTCAATACTGTGCGGAACATGATGTTTGCTCGAATGTTAATCCACGATTAAAGTTAAAGGGCGCTAACACCTATTGTGAGGCGACGAAAGCGCGGGAAAGTTGATCCGGGATTTTCGCATTCTCGTCCCTCACTCGGCATTTTTGTAACCGACCACGTGACCAAGAAACGACGGGCTCTGGGGACGAGAAAGGGATTTCGGTTGCCTCGTTCACGCGCGGCTTGTCTCATCACGCAACGCTCCTGCCTTGCGTGACGAGACATACAAGGCGCAAGAGGACAAAAACGTGCGAAAAAATTAGCGCTTTTTCAGGTTCCTCCCTCCCTTCTCGTGGAAACCGTTGTTATTCGTCCCACGCAGGCTCAGATCCTTAAAGGTACGGTAAACCGGACAACAAAAACGTTCAACTTCTTTTGCAACATTACTGCAAAACGAGTTAAAAAGCGATGTTGCTCGTTTTTCCACCCACTTTCAATTCTGTCTTGCAACAAATCAGGTTGTTGCAGGTTGCGAAAAGTTGTTGTAGAAAGTAGTTCTACTTTTTGCAACATACTCTTTACGCGCGTATTGGGCGTTTTACAGCCCTAGGCAAACTTGTTTTGCAGCAAGTGACTAACTCCTGCAGTTAATTTAATCCTAACTCTGACTCCCGCGTAATTTTTATCCAATCAGATGTCGGTATTCACAGAACTTGCGGTATAAATTTTTTCTTTGCTGGGAGACAGGTTTGAACGTGGGTAGTAAAGCGTGCAACATCGCTATTCAACTCGTTTTGCAGCTGCTGCAATGTTGCAAAACGCGTTGTACGTTTTCGTTCCCCGTGTTAACATACCTTAACAGGCACCCCCTTTTTTAAACTGAAATAAATTGGTTTTGCCAACAAAAATAGTTCATAATATTGGCAAAACCCTTGTTTACAGGGTTGATACCATGGGTAGACAAGTACGAGCTTAGCGCAAAAGGAGATTGAAGAGTGAAAGGCGCAGCCTTCGGCTTTCTTGGCTAAATTACAGCAATAAAAGTAACCGCTTTGGGGAAAACCCCTTCGGGTCAGGGTCAAGGTTAAATTTATTAGAATAAAATAATACATGAGGCACACTTAAAACACATTTGACTGAGTGCTACCACTGTCTTTTTGTTCCACAGTACTGGCAGTATACTTTATTCTACTGACAAATGACACTGTTCACTGAGACTTCCATGTGATATAAAATACCATATTTCCTCAAATAAGCCTTCCTTCCATTAATGGCCTCCCTGGAATAATATCCCCCCTTCGACGAAAACATTTTAAAAAAATCGCCTCCCTCGAATAATCGCCCGCCACCACTATAGGTAACCCACTATTGATACCCATAGCAGTAAATCTGGAGGATAAGTCTGAAGTGGAGTTTGATCCAGCAAAACTGATCACTGACGACGCGGAGGATATTGACAACAAAAATTACTCAAGGAACCAAATTTGGAACAATTGAAAAGCCCATGTTCAGTTTCTTTGATGTGATTATTTTTTTATTTAATGGGAAAATACAACAAATTATTTAGGGCACGACTTCCAGTGAACAATATCTGAAAATAATCGCCTCCCTTGAATAATCGCCTTCCCTTGAATAACCGCCACCTTTTGGTGTGAAAAAAAAAATAATTGTCCCCAGCTATTCATTTGAGAAAATAAGGTACAACTGAAAAATTTGCTTCTTAATTATTAAAAACAAGTTCAATATAAATATCCAAGTAAGAGTATTGCAATTTTTCAAAGCATAATCAGTCTAGATATATCTCAAGGAAGCCAAGTTTCTTTTTTCAGGGAAGAAATTTATAAATTACATGGCTTTGATCAGTTTTCTGTGAAGTAAAATATCTTCTACCTCTAAGCATATGTAGTAAAGTTGAGGAAAGTGTGAAAACTAGTTCATCTAAACATGACCTGTAGTTTATTCTATAACCAGACTTTCAATGTCTGAGCACTCGAGCTTGAAAGTTGGGCGCTCAACAGGAATCTTGACAAATTGCAAGAAAGTTTATTATAGTTTTTGAAAACATTTTGTGGATCATATTGGAACCTCCCCCTCCCCTAAGACTTAGTGCAAAATGTTGGCTTACGGGAGGGGTGGGTGGGCAGTTTCCTAGAAACGTATTAATAATGATCCCATTTTTTTAGGAACCAAAAAAAAAAATGCTACGTACCTGAAAATAAAAGGTCATGCCTTTAAAGTATAAACTACTTCTTTTAACTGATACTTGATTTTTTGTAGGATGTGCTGATTTCTCGGACCTTACCACATAGGATTTGCGTAAACCAAATATGCAACGCATTATGCTTAGGGTGTTTAACTGAAAGGAAACCACGTATATCCCCTTGTAATAGCTTATCTAATCACATATGGTTCATAATCGCTTCAATCACGTATATAAGCACATTGATTTACCAAATAAATGTAGTAGTAGAGTATATGACTGAGACCACTTGAGGCATTGATCCAGTCTTGAGTTAAGGCAACAATAGCTATTTATCGACTTAGAACTACATGTAACAGGCCACATTCAGATGAGCTAGTAGGGGTCACACTTTCCTCAACTTTACTATACATAGTTAACAGAGTGGAATGGTTATCAGACAATTAGACTCCTTAAGGTGACTTGACTGGATTTTTTAGGGACTATACCTCCCTACTTTGAGTGTTTGCCATGTCTGCATTAAAAATACAATGCAAAAAAGTTACCACAGCTGCACTGTATAAAGATGAAAATTTGTTATGATCCATGTTTTATTAACATCACAGTTACCATGGCAACATAATGATGCCATTACATTTTTTACTTGCCTTTGTATGTCTGGGTAATAGAAGTTTTTTTTCAGAAATCGCTTAGGGAGCTTGTACCTCCTTAGTTGCCTCGGTTGTGGCAAAGTTTGAACAAATTCTATGAGAGCGTTTTGGAAATATTCCGAAACAAAGTTTGAAGGGTCATAAAAACAGTGAATAAACATGCTATCAACGTAATAAGCTCATATCTAAAGAAAATGATGAGGTCTGTAAATGCAGTTTCATCTCATAGTGGTTTGATTTCATCTGAAACTTTGTTCGAAATAAGAGGGGGATGCTTTGGTCAATTGCAAGAAAGAGGAATTTGATTAGCCTAGGTTCGGCTGCTTGCTTTACCATTTTTGTATGTAATTTGGTCCATGCCTATAAATTTCATGGTTATTTAAAACCCGCTCGATAAATTTTTTTAAAAACTCAACAATCCCACGATTAATTATCAGTTTACATCTTTTCTGTTTCAAGGACATTGAAAACAAGGAAGGTAATTAAATGGGGCTTCAAATGTCACAAATTTTCCTGGCCCAGATTTGGTGTTTACAAGTGAGTGTTGGTGTGTTTGGTGTTTACAAGTGGCATTGTTTTCATACTTCATATGCACTTGCACAACTTTAATTTGCATTCAAAAGGACCCTGGATTACTTTCCCCAGAATTTGCGAGCTATGCTAATGTAGCAGAAATGGTGAAGAAAATGTCTGTAGCATCACTTTTTCATCATGAGGGATGCAGCAAGCAGGCCAGCATGCCTCTTAATATAAAGAAAACAAAATACAAGGTGTAAGCCGAGCCAGCCCAGTAAAGTGGGCCAGCCTGGCTAACCTCATATACACAGGCCCTAAATCTCATTTGCAATGCAGGCTTGCATCGCTGCTACTTTTCAATCAGAGAGAAACTGTTTGTTGTCTACTAAGCTGAGGGAGTATCCCCCTTAGGCTCTGCCTTGCATTCAATTTTCTCCCTGTTTTGTAGACTATATATCTTCTGTAAACAAAACCTCCGCCACCACAGTTTCCGTATCCATAAAGGAGAATGTCACCCCATGACAGTCCACAACATTCCAATCTCCATAATCATAAAAGAAGGAGATAGAGGGCATATCATGTGAAACAGCAATACAATACTCAACATTTCTCCTCAGGACCAGGAGTTTATCAAATAAAACATCAAAGCCGTGATAGATGCGATCAATATTTTTTTGAACATTCACCTCGTAGGTCTCAGTTTGGGAATAAAACAGTGAATCACCTCTCATTTCACCACCAACATAAACCTTCACAGTGGCTGATACTTTAGCATACATGTCACAGTCACACTCGTCAAAAAATAAAGAGACTCCATGCAACAATACGTTCTTGTCTACAGTTAAAGTGATTGGTTCAAATGTGGCAGGTTTATTGCAACAAATCGTAACGTTAACACCTTTATGATATCTGCAACATCGCATAGGGGGTCCCACTCTTTCTGTTTTTGAAAATCCATGCAGAGGCAGCACATTAGGATCGTCAAATTGTGCGACAACGTTGCTTGCTTCATCCTGCGTTAATATTTTGGTGACTGTGACAATCTCCATAAACTCTCTCTGTTCCATGAGTGGAAAACGCAATTTTTTTATTACCTCTTCCCCAAGTATTTCCCTCTTGACAGAGCCTTCTGATTTCAGATTTAGCCTCTTACATTCTTGTTCTGCCCAGCCATCGACAGCTTGAAATAACTCGACCTCCTTAATATTCAACGAGTCCCTTTCCACTAACTCTTGCAGAAGAGACTTCTCAATTCCAAAGAATTCATTCGATTTCACCACGCGCATTGTCAGTTGCTCAACATAGTCCCAACAAAAATTCAACAGATGTTTGTTTGAAAATTTCTGAGCGTGTTTTAAGACTCCAAGCACATTCGACGAGTCCAGATTATTCCCTAAAAAGACTGCACATTTTTTGGATAGACTGGGAACCATGTATTTCGCGGCGAGATATGCCACTTGCATCACGTTATTTTCGGTCAAGCAAACTTTATCGGTGTACAGGAATCGCAACAATTCAAGCATACCGTCATATTCACAGTCAGGCAGATTGATTTCTTCTTCGGTTTCAGCCATTTTGCCACAAAACATGGCAAAAAATACAGGGCTTCTGATTGTCAACAAAAACTTGTGAGCCGGGATCGCTATCTTGCTTTTTTTCCGGTCACTGCATTCGCCATGTTGGGATGAACGAACAACAAATTTCACATCGCTCAAGATATCATTGTTGAACAAAAATTTGCTTCTCTCTTGGAAAGCCTTAGGGAACTTATCCTCCTCTGTATCGATCCACGGGGTATCTTCATCCAATAAGGTTGACATGATTTTTGTTCTCAAGCTTATAAATAGTACAATCGAGGATACTATAAAACCAAACAGCGGTAAGCGGGCGAAAGCGCGGGAAAGTTGATCCGGGATTTTTGTAGCCTGCCTCTCTCGCAGCCGTTGTGGTCTCGTCACGCAACTCTCCTTTGCGTGACGAGACCAAAACACTTGGATTCCAGCTGAGTTGGCTCATATAGGAACTCTAGCTTATTCGAAGGAACTCCTGAAACTCATTTGAAAAGCAGGTAAATTGTATCTCTTTTTCTTCTTTGACACGATACTCCATGCTCGTCCCGTGTACGAATTAGCACTTCTTAAAGAGGTCGTTTATTAGATACGCACGTAATACAAAACTCTTCAACAATAGACCTTCTAGCTTCAGAATGTTTTGTTTTTCCCAATGAAGGTCCGAGGAGAATTTGCCACTTTCAGATTTTGTCTGGCCATAAATTATGCGTACACATCTGTCCCTAAAACTGCTGTGCTATGTAAAATTATCATGGAACATATCAAAGAATATCATGCACCGTCTTGAGGACAATAACATCTTATTTGCGAACCAACATGGATTTCGCAAAAATCATTCATGTGACACTAAATTAATACTGACTGTTGAAGACCTGTCGGTGAACTTAGATCACGGAGATCAAATGGATATGATTATATTAGATTTTAGTAAAGCATTCGATAAAGTACCCCATCAATGCCTAATAAGAAAATTGCAGTTCTATGGCATTCAGGGAAGTACCCTTGCATGGATTAAATCATGGCTCACTAGTAGATCACAGAGTGTCATAGTTGATGGTGTGTGTTCAAAATCTGTAGTAGTTGGGACTTCGGGGGTGCCACAGGGCACAGTGCTCAGTCCATGAAAGTTTGTGTTATTCATTAATGACATGCCAGATGATCTAGTATGTACACTAAGATTGTTTGCTGATGATGCTTTATTGTATCATAAAAT